CAGGACCCCCGAATCATGACCTGAACCCCGGGATCATGACCTGAGCCGAAGGCAGACGCTTAACGACTGAGCCACCCAGGTGCCCCTCAAAAAACATACTCTTAAGCCTACTAAATCACTGCAATTTTAAAATCTTGAATCTGCCATTAGAAGGGGAAAGGAAATCTATTTTGCAATCTGGCACATTCTTATTATGAGTTTCTTACTGTGACTCATGCCATAGACGCCTTGTGCAAATGTATAAGAAAATAACCAGACTGATATGTGAGGAGAATTTCAATGATGGGAGAAAAGCTGTTTGGGCGAACCAAGCCCTTCCCAGCCTTCCCAGCCTTCCCAGCCTTGCGGCTGCTCTGACTATACACATCGTGCTAAAAAAAAAAGAAGAGTACGGGGCGCCTGGGTGGCTCAGTTGGTTAAGCGACTGCCTTCGGCTCAGGTCATGATCCTGGAGTCCCGGGATCGAGTCCCACTTCGGGCTCCCTGCTCAGCAGGGGGTCTGCTTCTCCCTCTGACCCTCCTCCCTCTCATGCTCTCTGTCTCTCATTCTCTCTCTCTCAAATAAATAAATAAAATCTTTAAAAAAAAAAAAAAAAAAAGAAGAGTACGGAAGAACTTCATAGGATACCAGTAGGGGGGAAAAAAAGAGAGAGAATTTTTAAGCTTGCCCTATGTCCACTGAAAAACACTCTTAAACCTAATAGCCTCTACTTTAGCTCTTTTCTTCTAATTCAAAATCTTATAGCTAAATGCGAGCAGCCTCAACTGCCTTCAAGCTTAAAGCTGGGGAGAGCAAATGAAGGTGAAGCAAAAGAAGGAAGTTGAGGAAATTAGTTAATGGGAGATTAGGCTGAGTGGCTTCCTCCCTGAGCGGGATTCTCAAGGGAGGGATGGCAGAGAAGAGGGAGTGAAGAGCATAGGGCTGAGGAAAGTGCGAGATGCACATAACTCAGAAGTTCTTGAATAATTCTTTTTTTTTAAATTTTATTATATTTAAATTGAGTTAATTAACATATAGTGTATCATTAGATTCAGAGGTAGAGTTCAGTTATTCATCCACTGCATATAGTTCTTGCTTACTTCTTGACATAGTATGTGCTAAATAAGTTTATTAAGTCCACTTTGTACATTGCCTTAGTGAGTTTGGTTTCCGTTGCAATTTGGGGTTATCCATGACCATGTAACTATCTCACCCCATTGCTTATTGCATTGTGTTTAAGTTTCAGGGGGCAAAACTGTCAAGAATTTTTATCTTTTCTTATTTACTAAGAAGAAATCAGGTGTGTGTTTTTATATAAATGTTGATTAAGATCAGTCTTTAAGGAAGGTCTTAGAAGTTTACTGTGATCATTTACAACAACAAACAATGTTTGAGCCATTCATTAATGTTCTTAATAAAAACCACTATTAAAATAATATAATTTGTTTAAACAATATTTCATAAGTGTTAGAGACAGTAAATTAACAAAGGGTTTATTGTGTGCTACAGGAAAGGAAGAGATTTTTTAGTACTAGGAAAATTCTTATCTTCTCCTTGGGTGTCAGAAGCTGCAGAACAGTTAGTTCAACCAAAGCAAATGCATTTGTCTTGGAGACTTTTCTTGAACATTCAAAATTTAGCTAACAAGTATTTTACTGATAAGTTGACTTCTGTTCTTAAAGTAAAAATACATATTTCTGTTCTTATAATGTTTTCTTTCTAAAGAAGGATTTATGTGATTTTCTTCCATACCCCAGTTGACATAATTTGAAAATAACACATTTTCATGGTACAGATAATTTCCATGCTCTAATAATCCATTACAGAGCATTAAACTTAGGGAACAATTTCCTTCATTTAACAAAATATACATCTGCCTGAAGTACCTGTCTGGCTCAGTCAGTGGAGCTTGCGACTCTTTATCTTGGGGTTGTGGGTTCAAGCTCCACACTGGGTATATAAATTACTTAAATATAAAAATCTTTAAAATAGGGGCACCCGGGTGGCTCAGTTGGTTAAGCATCCGCCTTCAGCTGAGGTCATGATCTCAGGGTCCTGGGATGGAGCCCCACAGGAAGCTCAGCAGGGAGCCTGCTTCTCCCTCTGCCTGCTGCTCCCAGTGCTTGTACCCTCTCTCTCTGTCAAATAAATAAAATCTTTTTAAAAAATCTTTAATACATACACACACGCCTGAATAGAAAATCAGAGAATAAGAAATTAAGGCCCTTATAAATACAGATATAAGTTTTAGGATCAAGAGAGATCAAGATCAAGACAATATTACAGCTATTATTTAACAGTTCCTTGAATATTCTGGCAAATGGGGATAGTGAGAAGGCAATAAAAAGAAACAAGTATAACTATCAGCAAGGAGAAAGAATTATCACATGAAAGTCTATCTAAAAACTTCAGGATATCAACTAATCAGAACTCATCAGAATATTCATTAAGGGGCTAGTTATGAAATAAATTACCCAAATTACTAACTTTCCTATATATTAGCAAAAAGTCAAAAATGTGATGAAAAATTTAAATCCCACTCCAACAGCAAAAGGATCTCTTTACATATGAAGAATCATCACTATGAATAAACTTAAGAAATGTGGAGGATATACATTGAGAGAAAATTACAAAACTATGCTGTAAGACATAAAGGAAGATTTCAATCAGTTTCCAGGAAAGCTCAAGAGCTGTACAACTGAAGTCCATCCAGGCCCACTGAGACCCCACTTAAGCCCAAACCAGTGACTCTGTGATACTCAAACTTGGAGAACGGGGCTTGTTTCAGGATCCTAGTCATCTGGACAATAGGGACTATGCCAAAATGGTCCATTTGTCCATGTTTTAGTGGTAATCAGACTTCACACACACACCCACACACCCCAGTGGAGGTGAACTGTTTCCATAGGCTGCCTTCCTGGGGTAGGACTATGTTACTCTATATTAGTGAGAGCAGTGCTTGCCACTATAAAGATAAACCCCATTTTCTCAACAGCAGAAGAAATGGAAACTACTTTCTTGCTTATTAAAAAATTTAATCAACCTGGGATAAGGAGAAAGGACAGGAACCAAGTTGGTGAGGACCCTGCTATCATCAATACAAATAAGAGGACTCCTATTTAATATGAGTTAATCAAATAAACACTGATTTGTTTTATAGACAAAAAAATTAAAAAATTTAAAAACCTAGAGTTTTGACCTTAGAGTCAATCTCTTAGACAGAGCAACTTCCAGGAAAGTGTTGATAACTTTCTCCTTGGAAAACTTCTGCCTAGAAATCTGCTGGATACCATATTTTTTTAGATACCATATTAAACAGTTTCAAGAGCCCATCAAAGCCCTGGGAAGCTTATAATAACCAGAGTCACTCTCTAACCTATACTAGAATTACGATGAAAATGTACTTAGCTAGGAAAGAATTCTGGATACCTATACTGTGTTATAAAGGCTTTTCAGAATCTATTTCACTTTTCTAACAAAAACAGTGATCATTAAGTGTATGAAACCAATATGCATTTAGTAGGGTTTTGCCTCCTGGTGTACACACACTAAGGGGATCCCACAAGATACCTTCTGCCTAGCATTTTCACCCTACCATGCATGAATCTCTATAATCATGCACATGGATGAAGGCATGAACTCCAGAGTACTCCCATTTAAATGAAAATATATTCACTGGAAAAGTAATGTATCAGTTAAGTCTACCACAAAAATGCTGCTGATGATTACCACAAAACCAAGGAGCATGCAACAAGAATTATTTATTCTCATGTTCATAAATCTGCAGGTCTGCTGGGACAGCTAGCTCAGCCTTATACTGTGGGTGTGTGGATTGGTTGGGACAGCTCTGCTCCACATGTCATCATTCTTCTGGGACTAGAGAAGAACCAGGATATGTTTATGGCAATGCAGAAGCACAGGAGGGCAAGCCAAAACATGTCAGCATATTTGAAGCCTTTGTTGTCATCATGTTTACTAACATCTCATTGGCCAAAGCAAATCACATGGCGCATCCCAACATCAGTGGGACAGAAAAATATACTTCATCTCTAGCAAGAGGAACCACAAAGTCACCTGACAAAGGTTTGACACCCAGGGAGGGTTGGAGAAATGGGAACAATAATGCAATCTTTCAAAGGTAACATGAACTCAGTATTAACCAATAATACAGTAACATTTCATAGTGCTTGGCCAGCTCAACCAGTAGAGCATGAGACTCTTGACCTTGGGGTTGTGGGTTCAAGCCCCATACTGGGTGTAGAGATTACTTTAAAATCTTATAAAAAATAATTATACAGTAACATTTCTGTTTTCATACTTATCTAGTCATAAATACAGGACACTAAGGAAATAGAAGGAAGGGGGAAAGTAGGATCTAGAAATGTGTCACATTTCTGGGAGGGAGGAAGGGGTAGGGGAGGTGCCACAGTGGACTTGGAAGAGAAAATAATAAAGCAGAACATACTCATGAATGAAATTCACTGATAAAAATTAAAAAATGAAGAAAAGCAAGATATGACAGTAGGAAAACATAGGTACATGGAGGGTAAAAGAAAATCCCAGAGAAAGACAAGCTTTTTTAAAAAAAAACTGCACAGAGAAATGAAACTGTTCAAGCGTAATTTTTTTCTCCTTTTGAAACTGGCATTCCTTGTACGGCCATCCCTAATCTATTACCTATGGCTTGTGATTTATAATCTGAAAGAGGTCACGATTTATAATCTGTAAGAATCTCTCTACAACAATCCTCTCTATAAGAAAATTAAAAAACTGTGTTTGTGTGTGTACACAGAATTTTTCTTTCAAACCAGGCAGATCAGAAAATTCCTAGAATTTAAACCTTGAACATAGGGACACAAAACTGAAAATGGTAAGAGTTCACTCATTCTTCCTGAAGATGCTATCTCATGATTACTGCTTCCCAGGTTCTCAGAGTTGCTCTATATTCCTGAACCCCCACCCCCCAAAACCCCCTATTCACATTTCCTTCAACTCTGTGAACCATCCTTTCATCCTACCAATAAATATATTTTTTGCTTCAATGAGTAAAAATTTATTTCTGTTGCTTTCAATCAAAGAATTGTATCAGGTACAGGTCCCTTTCCCATTTTCTATCCTCCAAGGAAAGGAGAGACAGAGAAAGAAAGAGAGAGAGTGAACAATAAAGATGCCTTAAAGCAAATAACAAGGCATGCCATCATTCAAGAATCCAGTATCTAAAATCATTTCATGAAAATGACTGTTACCATGGCAACCTTTCAGTGTGTATTCAATGACTTTATGTGCATTCATTAACATTTTAATGTAAACCAAACTGTATTGGCTTATTTGGCCTTGATTCCTTTTTAAATATAGATTGTTTTGTCTCATAAAAGTTATCAGAGCTTCTATTCAAGATGGCTGACAAACAAGTAAATTTACTTTACCCCTAAAATCACACTGAAATGACACTGTAAAGGAAAGCCCTCCATGTTTATCTCCCACCACCACCATTCCATACACACACACATGTACACACACATACACATGCTCATAAAATCCACTAGAATCCCAGCTCCTGTCATTGGAATCTGTTCTGATTATCCAACATGGTCAAAAAGGTTAATATCCCTCCCATTAGCTGATAAATTAAATGCAATCAAGTCAAAATCCTGAGATTTTTTTATTAGACTCTGACAAGTTGAATAGGAAGTTCATCTGGAAAAGTGACAGCCAATAAAATGTTAAAGAACACTGATCAGACAGGCCATGACCATAGAGAAAGTCAAAGTGGGTAGCAGCAAAGTAGCCCAAAGAGCCTGGGGAGATAGAGCCCTAGGGAGTGGTGTGCCTACTTCTCAACCTGCTGAACCACACTCCAGCACTTCCTCATTATCTGCATCCAGGACAAGTTCAGCCAGAACTTTAGGTAGCAAACAGTTTCCAAGGCCATATGACACCATGAGCACCACGTCACATTCATGTGCTACCTGATTCTGAGTTTTGGCAACTCGCTGACTCAGAGAACAGCTTCATCCTTCCTGAAGAAACCAGTCAGGCAGTCAAAGAAGATAAATAAAAGGAAATAAAGAGGTGAATCCACATACACTGAGGTCAACAATTGTTTTTACATCTTCAGAGAACTTAGGGAAAATTTTAAAATATAGTGATAAAAAGAAATAGATTTTATACACACACAAGATCCAAAGGACTAAAAGGATGAAGCACAAAGAAAAGTCAACCAAAAGCAGCAATCCTTCCAATGCCAGCATCCCACAAAATGGAAGATCTGGAAGGGGTGACACTGGGCAGCAAAGAAATGGGAGGGTGCTGAGTATGAAAAGGATGAAGATTCTACAGTGAAGAAAACAGACGGAAGCCTGTGTCCATTTGTCTTGTCTTCACAGGAGCGTTCAACAACCTTGGCTAGGTTAAATGGAAGTAGAGAAGAGAAAGGAGGAGGAGTGGGGAGGAAAAAAAGAAGAAAAAGAGTTACAAAAAGAAATTCTGTAAAGCTATGGTAATGAAAATTAAAGTGTGAGTTTAGTGATAGTTCAATAGAACTGGAATAGGGAGCCCATAACAGACTTGTGTACGTAGTAAAATTTAGTTCACCATAAATGTGGTGCTTCAAGTGAATGAGAATGAAGGCTAGTTTAAAATGAGTTGGAGTTAATAGAATAAAAATTGAAAAAATAAAGATAGATCCCTATGTCACACTCAATCAAAATTTAAATACCAGATATAATGAAGACCTAAAGTAAAAAAAACCAAAGTATAAAAGTACCAAAAGAAAATATGAGAACATATGGATAAGGAAGGCCTACTTGAGCAAAATATGAAATCCAGAAACAATGAGTTTTTTTAAAAAAGGAATGCATGTTTCGGCTACATAATAATTTTAAACCTCTGTATCATGAGAGATAGCATAAACAAAATTAAAAGGTTAAAAGGTCTAAATTTGTAAAATATTTGCAATATAAGTAAAAATAAGAGAAAGGCAACTCAATTTTTTTCATGTGCAAAAGAACACTGGCAGAGACCACAGAGACTGTTCAGTATCTCTAATTTTCATTCTGTGCTGCTTCTGTACTAATAAAAATTTTAGTTGGGCATGGATTTGCCCAAAATAAATAAAGGTTATACTTCACAGCCTCCCTTAAAACTTGGTCACCTGTGGCTTGTGGCTGAATTCTGGCCATGATAATACAAAAAGAAGCGTCATGGAGGAGATTCCAGGAAACTTCTTCAGAGAGTGTATGTGAGTCCTTAATCCCCTTCTTCATCTTTTCCTCCATCCTCCTGCCCAGAACACAGATGCTTCCGTCTTGGACTTGAGGTCAAGGTGAGGAGTTGGACTTGAACAGGAAGGAGTTCCCTTTATCCTATGGAAGAAAGTCAAGAATGGTATGTATATAGATAAGTGGCAGTGAGGGGATGGAAAGTCGAGCAAAATAATGCTTCACAGCCTCAATTTGTTTGATGAAGCAGGAGAAAACCTAGCTAAGAGTAAGGGAAGTGAGAACTTAAGGACAGTGGTATTGACATGACACTACTGTTGAAGACAAAACAGAAGGAACCTGAAAACAGCAATGCCACAGAATGAAAGGAGAGCCCGGCAAGAGTTTAAGCCATAAATGTGTATGGTACCCATCTGCAAGGTTTATTATAAGGTCTACTGATTTTTTCCCCCTAGCCTTGATTAGCTAATCTTTTTATTTTTAAGATTTTATTTATTTGAGAGAAGGCACACGCATGCACAAGCAATGTGAGAAGCAGAGGGAGAGGGACAAGCAAACTCCGTGCTAAGCATGGAGCCCAACATGGGGCTTGATCTCATGACTCTGAGATCATGATCTGAGCAGAAATCAAGAGTCAGAGCTTAACTGACTAAGCCACCCAGGTGCCCCTGATGAGTTAATGTGAAGATAAGAGCAAAGAAAGCAAACTGAGGCATCAATCCAGGGTTGGGATATAGTACAGTGAGTTTAGTATAGAATAGAAGTAAAAGGGGTATTTGTGGGAGAATATTTTAGATGAGCAAACATGAGGTTCATGGAGAAGAAAGCAAGCTTAAGATGGGGCTACTAAACTGGGAGGAAGTGGAAGGACCAAGAAATTGAAAATCTAGACAATGGTGAAAAACAGATATAGTGGAAATGAAGCTATGGAAAAGCTGGAGGCTGGAGTCAGGGATCAGGATACTTGAGTTTTACTTGAATATTCTAAAATGAAGATGTTCTAGAAGAATGCAAGTTTCAGAATATGACCATGCAAAAGACAGGAAAAGTTTAACAGAGTGCTAAAGAGCATGGACTTTGATCCAGGAAGAATTTCTGTTACTAGTTTTATTATTTATCTTCATTTAGCTTTGGTTTCTTCAGCACACCTGTTCATTAGATTGTTGTGAAGATTAAAAGAAATTTTAATTTCTTTGGATTAAAGAGCTTTGTTCAGTGCCCAGCACATACTAAGCTCTCAATAACTGAGTTTAAAAAAAAACACATACATGCCCTATTATTCTGTTTACCATTAATTAAGATGCACAACACAGGGACAACTGGATGACTCAGTCGGTTAAGCATCTGACTCTTGGTTTCAGCTCAAGTCACGATCTCAGAGTCCTGAGGTCAAGCCTAGCATCCGGCTCCGCGCTCAGCATGGAGTCTGCTTGAGATTCTTTCCCCCTCCTTTTCCCTCCCCCTGTGCTCCTTCCCCCACCACTTGCTTGTGCACTCATGCACGCACACGCTTGCTCTCTTTCTCAAATAAATAAATAAATAAAATCTTTTTTAAAAAGGAGATTCATAACACATTATTAGGGTGGAAAAATGTAATACCTGTAATATTGATGCTAATTTTGCCTATGGGCAGCAAACATTTCCAAACTGTACACAAATGCCTAATAAGAAACAAGTGAATAATCCAATTATAAGCTCTTCCTTTCCCTTGATTGTAAATGTCTAAGAAAAAAAGAAAATGTCTAAGAAAATGAATACACACAATAGTGACTAGTATTCCAGCAATTAACAATTAACTAAGTCAGCAATTACAGCAAAAACTCAACTCCATCAACTAAGCCAACATTTTGAAAAGAGGAAAGAAATGTATTTTTTTAAAGATTTTATTTATTTGTCAGAGAAAGAGAGAGAGCGCGAGAGAGCACAAGCAGGGGGAGCGGCAGGCAGAGGGAGAAGCAGGCTCCCCACAGAGCAGGGAGCCCGATGAGGGGCTCAATCCCAAGACCCCAGGATCATGACTTGAGCCGAAGGCAGATGCTTAACCGACTAAGCCACCCAGGTATCCCGGAAAGAAATATTTTTAAATGAAAAAGAACCTATTTCCAGATAACAAGTAAAAAATAATCGTAAGTAAACAAACTAAAGAGCCAGTGTGCTTAGAGATAGCAGAATTATTCTTGGTAAAGCTGGAAAGGACATCAGTTACCCAGTGCAGTCAGCATGTTCAATGTCAGAAAGCTTTCCCTACTCCATATGCTCTTATCACTCCTCCCTCACTCTTTAAATTATCACCTGAAGTATGGGAAATGTATACCTGTACATCAAAAGTATTAAATAAACCAATTCAGCAGAAGCCCTTACAGTGCAGTTGGAGAACAAGTATAACCCAGGTCATGGGCTAAAGGAATGACTGCAGACTTGTTATCTGTTACTTATGTTTGAGGGCACATGGTTTGTTCTGTGATATACCAAAATCCATTTAACTCAAATGGCTTTAAACCACACAGCTATAGGGCAATACCCCCCGTTCTCTGCCTGGCACATAGTAGGTACTCAACAAATGTTAAAATCCATTTGTTTATTTATGTAGCCAGTATTTATTAGGTCCCTAATATGTCCCAAACATTATTGTAGACATCAGAAATAGAGCAAACACATTTTTTAATTTTTTTATTTATTTTGCTGTTGTTTGCATTATGAAAGTAATATATGATTATTGCAAAAAGTAAAACAATACAAAGACATACCAAAATTTTCTTTGTGGTCAAATATGGGATCAACTATTTGAAATGTTCCATGAATATATGGAGAATAAAGTGTTTCTTCTCTATTCAAAGGAAATAAGTTCTTTCTCCTATATTCAAGAGTGCATGTGCAGGGGCGCCTGGGTGGCTCAGTCCATTAAGAGGCTACCTTCGGCTCAGGTCATGATCACAGGGTCCTGGGATCGAGCCCCACATCGGGCCCCCTGCTCAGCGGGGAGCCTGCTTCTCCCTCTCCCTCTGCCTGCCACTCCCCCTGCTTGTGCTCTCCATCTCTCTGGCAAGTAAATAAAGAAAATCTTTAAAAAAAAAAAAAAGAGTGCATGTGCATACATGGGTGTATGCGCACACACACACAAAGTTAACTTATCACATTGTTCAATTCCCATATGTCCTTACTTATTTTTTTTAACTACTGGAGATGTCCAATTTTGATATGCCCATACTAAAATCTTACTATAATTATTGTATTTATCTCACTAATCAATGAAAATTAAGATTAAAGAATCATACAACAATGAATTGAGATGTAAGAGCTAGAGTAATCCCTTTGTTAAGCACCACATGAATCAGAAAAACATTAAATGAATTAGTAATAGAATGTCTATAGTTAAATACATTGTGGATTAAATGATAAGACTTTTTTTCTGTTGATGTCAAATTAAATCCCTCAAGCACAGGAACTACATATCAGATCATTTACCTCTTCTGAGTCATAATTATTCCCGGTGGCTCATTTTTAATGTTGGCTTTTGTATGGTTGAAAATGACTGTGCAATTAGGTAATTCTGTTAAAAGGACAAAAATTAGGTTTTTCTCTCTCAAGAAAGAGAAGCCATATGAATACAGTGATGAGAAACTAAAAAGCAATTCAGAAACACTTTTAACTATAATACAAAGTCCTATTAGGCTAGCCCACAAACATGACTGTGAGCCAAGAGCCTACCAGCATTGTTCATCTTTAAAGGTCTTCACTTTTCTTTTGGACAACGCCTCTTCAGGTTTTAAATAAGGAGCAGATAATGTGCAAAATACAATTATTTCATGTGTATAGAATAGCCCCATCCAGAAAGCAATGAGCCACAGAAGAAGATGCTCTGCTGACCATCTTTGCTATTAGTCACATTGGTTTAAAGTCTCACAGGTTTTATGAGGATAGAACAGAAAGAAAACCTTCCCATAAGAAAGAACCCAGAGGGTGGATACTATAATAATGACAAGTGTCCATAATCATACAAAATGTTCACATTTCATACAGGCATAACAAATGAGTTCATCTGCACCTGGCCAAATGACAGGGAGTTTAATCTTGAAGTGGACTATAGCTCCAAACACTTGTGAAGTGAATTCACCTAAAATCTTCACTTACCAGATTATTGTCCCACTTAAAAATTTAATAGTTTATTAATTAATGTAGAAACTACTGCTGCAAGCTCTCATCTTTAGAAGAGGGACTGTTATTTTTCTTGATATTCTTCTGCATTCAAAATAACTTGTTTTGTCAAGGACGTGTTATTTGGTCGTAGGGTATATTTGGCATCTACCAAAATTAATCTTTTCTTAAGACTGTTCATTGTTGTATAGTTCCTTATGTCATCAAACAAACAAGAATCTCTATGAATAGACTGAATCAAGTCCACCATTAGGTTTCCTTTGAAAACAACTCTTTGCCATAATCATCATAGTTATTTAGTGACCTTCTACCAAGTGCTCTACCCTCATTACTTCATGTAACCCTGCAGCGCAGATGGTATCTCAGCTACTTTTATGAAGGGGACTAAAGAAAGAATAACAAAACATGTCCCAGCCATGTGAGTTACTGCCTTCACCTCAGCCAGGCTTGGTCATTCTCAACTTGCCTGCTAACACACCTTGACTGAAATTCAAGGCTCCGGAACCAGGTTAAGGGAGATGTTATGTGTGGATACAGGAGGAGGCACCTGGGTGTGAGAGAAGAGCTCTGTCTTCTGACTATCCAATCCCCCACCCCCACCTTAATCTGTGTCAGGACCACGCTGAGTTGTAGATTCCTCAAGCAAAGTGAAACTAAAGCCACCTACCCCATGGCCTCCCTGCCAAGGCTGGGGGCTGGCACAAACGGAGCTGTAGTACAGTTTATTTAGTGCCTCTATGCCCAGCAGACCATATTACCTAGGCCCCAGCACAAGTGGGGAAAAAATCTCATCTTGAAGGGACCAGTTTCTATTTTTCATGGCAAACCCAGCATGGGAATTCCTTTTGTCCCAAAGACCTCCCTGTCCACACTACTCACCAACATGCCTGGGCAGCCTGATGCTCTCTATGCCCATCTCCCTTTCACCAATGAGTTCCCATCTCTTTCTCAAAAAGTAGATGCCCCTCTGGTGTTCCTGCCACCACCAG